AAAGACCTTTCAAGGGTCCATTCTTCAAGGAAGACCCTTCAAGAGTCTCTTCTTCAAGGAAGACCCTTCAAAGAAGATCCTTCAAAGGTCTCTTCTTCAAGGAAGACCCTTCAAGGGTCCCTTCTTCAAGAAAGACCCTTCAAGAAAGACCCTTCAAGGGTCTCTTCTCCAAGGAAGACCCTTCAAGGGTCCCTTCTTCAAGGAAGACTCTTCAAGGAAGGGTCTTTGGGTGTCGTTGTCCCCCCACCCCGCACCGCATTCCCAGTTTCGCCTGTTTACCAGCAAAGAGCTGCCGGGTGGGCGCGCTGAGCTGCGCCTGCCGCGTTATCCGGTAAGCGACGTCGGAGCCGGTGCCGTGTTGGGAGCAGAAACCTGGCACCTTCTTGACGCCTTCGGGCAGCGATTGGAGCTGGAGGATCTTCAGGACGTCCACGGGCTCTCCTGGGGACAGGGAGGGTGACAGGGTGCCCTTGGTGGTGCCGCCGCTGCCCGGCGCGCTCCTGGCACCGCCGCCAGCGCTGGAAGGAAGTGGTGCCATGGGGGCTGTTGGGTGCCGTGGGGCACTGGAAGGTGCCATGGGGTGCTGTGGGGCACCATGGGGTGACCTAGGCACTACAGGGTGCCATGGGGTGCCTTGGGGTGTCCCTGGCACTAAAGGGTGTTATGGGATGCCCTGGGCACTTCAGGGTGCCGTAGGGTACTGTGGGGCACCACGGGGTGCTCTGGGCACTACAGGGTGCCGTAGGGCACCATGGGCTGACCTAGGCACTACGGGGTCCTATGGGATGCCATGGGATGCCCTTGCCACTGCAGACTGACCTAGGGTGCCGTAGGGCACCATGGGCTGACCTAGGCACTACGGGGTCCTATGGGATGCCCTTGCCACTGCAGAGTGCCATAGGGTGCCGTAGGGCACCATGGGCTGACCTAGGCACTACGGGGTCCTATGGGATGCCCTTGCCACTGCAGAGTGCCATAGGGTGCCGTAGGGCACCATGGGCTGACCTAGGCACTACGGGGTCCTATGGGATGCCCTTGCCACTGCAGAGTGCCATAGGGTGCCGTAGGGCACCATGGGCTGACCTAGGCACTACGGGGTCCTATGGGATGCCCTTGCCACTGCAGAGTGCCATAGGGTGCCGTAGGGCACCATGGGCTGACCTAGGCACTACGGGGTCCTATGGGATGCCCTTGCCACTGCAGAGTGCCATAGGGTGCCGTAGGGCACCATGGGCTGACCTAGGCACTACGGGGTCCTATGGGATGCCATGGGATGCCCTGAACACTACTGGGTGCCATGGAGTGCCATAGGGGGCTGTGGGAAACCATAGGCTGCCCTGGGTGCCACGGGGTGCTGTGGGGTGCCATGGGATACCATAGAGTTCTCTGAGCACTACTGGGTGCCATGGGGCACTGTGGGCCACCCCAGGTACTGCAGAGTGCCATGGGGTGCCCCAGGCATTGCCAGGTGCCATGGGGTGCTATGGGGTGCCCTGGGGTGCCCTGAGCACTACTGGGTGCCATGAGGTGCCATGGGGCACCGTGGACCACCCCGGGTACTGCAGGGTGCCATGGGGTGCCCCAGGCATTACTAGGTGCCATGGGGTGCCCTGGGGCGTGCTGTGCACTACTGGGTGCTGT